ATAGATAACAACAGAATACAAATGGCGTAATGCTTTGTACTAGACTTGTAAGCAATATTATTATTGGTTCCCAAAATATTCGATGATTGTATCGAGATAAATGAAGTTGTTCGAGGACAAACATCTTTTTTAATTGGTGTTGTTCAAAAGAAAAAAAACTTCAATGAAAAGTAGCTTCCTGCAAGATAATGCTTCTTCATAGTCTCAAAGCTGATTATTGCCCACATTAACCTGAAATGCTTCAATTAAACCAAATTAATGGAAATGCCACTCCTCTCTAGTAGTGCTGCATATAACGATAAACTCTATCCGGCAGCAAGACCTCTGCTTGGGATTATCTACGTTTTGAGGAGTATGGAACCACCTCTATAATTACTGTTGTTCTCAGGTCCACCCTGATCCGGAGTGGTAGCACCTGTTAGGGGGGAACCTTGCTAAGGGCAAATAGTGTACCCCCACCAAAACAAAAAAAAAACACCATGAATGTATAAAAATACATTTTGATCGTAAAAATAAAAGCAATCAATTTTTATATAAAAATACCAACGATACATATTATTATAAAATTACCAACAATATATTTTGAAAACAGGATTACCAACAATACATTCCATAGCAAAATGACCAACAATGCATTTTAATTGGAGTTGAAGCCATAAAATTGCGTTCAAAATATTTAGATTTCGATATTAAATAACCCACTGACGATGACATGCCACTAAACAAAATCAATCAACCAAACAAATTTTCAGTATGAAAGAACACTTTCGTGACATTAATCCATAAAATATCTGATAATTTCTTAAAGAAATCAAACTGTATTCCAAAATATAATTACAACATAAAACACGCATATCACCGTCTCTATTATTTATGCCCACACAAACATGAATATGCACAAAAGTTGAGTATCATCTACCATGTATTCAATTGTGAAAGCATAACAACATATATTTTTGTTACTTCAAATTTCCCAAGAAAATTAAATCCCGACATTAAATGACCCATAAGGAGTTGATGTGCCGTTAAACAGACAAATGAATCAACCACTCTACAGATACTAATCAAATAGCGAATTTGGGTTGCATCAATAAAATCGATATATATGAAAACAGAAAAAAACTATTTGACTAATAAAGATATCCGGAAGCAATAAAAAAGTCGAAAGGCTGCAATGAATGAAATCCTGATAAAGATTATAGAATAACAATCGATTGATTTGTTTTTATGGATTATTATCTTTTTGTGCTTTATTTAAATCCGAAACATATTCTTGAGGATTGTAAGATTGAGGATTTTTGCGAGTGAATATTGCATTAACAATTTTTAGGGAATAACAATGATTTCTCTAGATACAATTCCTCTTGTTTAACCCATAGCTTGGTGAGATTATAGAGTCATACATTTCCCAAGAGTATTTGCGCGTAACTGAATGTAACCAACCCGACTGAAATTCGAACTCGACTCTCCGATTTCTCATTCCATGCTGCTATCCATTACACCACCTGCATATCCATTGTAAAATGTGAAGAAGAACATATTAACATTTGAAATTATAAAATAATAAATCTATTCGGGAGTAGTGGCTAGTATGTTAATCAAATATCATTTATCTATTTTTATTACTTATTATTTATTAAATAAAAATATAACATGAGAATATAAAATTATATTTTACGTACTTTCATATTTGTCTTTATTTCCTCAACTTAAAACTAATTATCAATATTTTTAACATGACAAACATTATCAGCTGAAATTCACATGATATATTGAGCATACAAACGTAAGTATATCCTTAAAAATATCGGTTGGTTAATTCCAATGTTATTGTCAAAACATTGGCTTGTGGGATAATATTGTGAACGTGACTAAAATTAACTCCTATGTAAACACACGGTAAATCTGGAAGTCAAACCATTAGCCGATGTCGTCAACCGAAACTCTATCCATATATTGTTACAGTTATTGAATAAATGCTAAAACTGGTCGTTGTAGAGGAGAAAATGAATGCGGATTATGTGAAATATGTAGCATAGATAACTGCTCTACTCTAAACTGGAAGAGGTTAAGATTTTAGTGATCGGGGAAGCATTCTCTCGGGAGTCTGTTCCACAAAGTAGCGATTCTCAGAAAGAAGTTCTATGAATGAGACGTTCTTTTTACAAATGAAATTTGAAGGTTATGCGGATAATTGCACACTGTGAACAACGTGGCATGGCTGGTCTTATCGGTAAAGGTCTGAACTGGTGAAACTAAAAAATGTAGCTCTCACCCGAAGATTGTTTTCCAGGGGAATTGGGATATCTATTCGGGTGCATGAATCGATTGTCCTAAAAAAGACTATTTATTGGAAAATAAAAATGCATGTTTCTATTTCGAAAAATAAAGAAAAAGGCCTGTATTACCTGTGACATAGTCCCCTGGTCGCAGCGCCAACTGTGACGTTCTATCCTGGTCTACCACGGCACCAGCTGTTCGCTCCTCGCTGCTCCGTTCGGGTGTTGCTGCTCCAAACGTGACGTCCGCCTGTCGCGTCAGTCGTGTTGTCTCGTCCTGTGACGACCAACTGGCTTGGTATCGGTCGCGGCACCCAAATGTGACGTTCTAACCTTTTGGTGATTCGGGTGGGAATCTGGTTAGATTTGATATCAGCCTCGTCGTTCCCAACTCGCTTCCAACGCCTGGTTACCAAGGTAACTGCATTGATCTCCAGTCTGCCTATCCACGTTGTGAATTGATCTTAGGCAGACGAGATCAATCAGTGGTTGGGGCCGTAATGCAAACCGAGTTCAACGGGGGTGATACCACACAAATATGCATAAAAGAAAATAAAATGAAAACTCAAAAAGTTCAAAGTATCAAAGAAAAAGGTAACACACTTTATGTCTAGTTGTTCGATACATAGGACTGCATCTATCTCCCGACCCGTTCTATGGATTGTGACACGTCGTTTTCCGTTAGGCGATTTTTAACGCTTCAAGTTGTTTGCTCTCTAAGAAATTGTTTTTTCGGTGTGTCTTCGGACGAAAGTCGAAAAAAACTTATTTCGGTGGTCTGGATCTATGTCGCTCTTCAAAATAATTGTTCTTGGGTTGAAGAGGAGTCCGGAATTTGCGTGAATCTTGGTCAGCTATCTGCGAGGCGGCTTCAACTGGAGACTCAACTCAAACTTTTCTGGAACTGAACTTACTGGAACTTAATGGAACTGATTTCTGCTCGTTGTGGCTTTGCTTATATGGACGCCGACCAAAACCGGGGTGGGTCTGTCGGCGTCGGGGTTTCCTCGATAATTCTAAATACATATCCACCTCTCTGGTTAGAATTTCCACTTTTTCCATTTTGGGAGCTTTTCCTTACTCCCACCTTCTCACCATACTTCAGAGGGCGTGAACTGCCCTCACCACTTCTTCGTAGCAGCTTCTCATACCTATACTCTGGATGAGGTGGCGACAGCCTCCCTTCGTGCGTCACGTGATCACCACTGACCAATGATGTCTTAGTCGGGCGTGGACGAACCCGCGGCTTTGTTTCAGGAAAAAATATCTTGCTTAACTAAAAAAAAATTATCCCTTTTTTTTTTTCTTTTACTTCCTCCTAATCGGAGTTATCATTTTCCCTAGCCGCAACGACAGTGGTCATAACTCTTGTTCTACACCCGGTTTTCGTCAATTATTTTATCGCCAATTATCAGAATAGGTGGTCTTCTTAACACGGCCAACGTCGCCCCGAAAAGACATTTCTAAATTCCCATTCATTTCCCTTCGGTACATATTTCTGATAACATAATTTTATTATCGCAGGCCAAGGATGTTCCGTCGAAGGAAATCGGTCAGCGGACACTCGTGGGTGGCTTTTAATTTTTCATATCTGTCCAAAGTCCTTTTAGTTGCCTGTTTTTCGTCACTTATCGAAATAACATTTTCATTTGAATTTTTCTTTGGCCAGTCGGTCTGTAGTTGATAATAAGATGCCTTCCCGTACCAATAGTTTGTTTTCATATCCTTAGATAACACAGCAGTCGCCAAAACATATCTGATTCTTTCTTTCTTTCCCTTTCTTTTTACTCAGAATTTCCCTGTCATTGTAATGACACCCTTTCGCCATTTGTTACTTATCAAAATATCCCTTTATCCATTGTCTCTTAGCCGTGTGTGTTCTGCTTATCACCCACGATTCGTCTCGCCTCTCTTTCTGCCTTCTTTTTCTGCCTCGTTAAATGGTGCCACAATCGTTTCTTTTGTAACGCAATGTTTATCAAGCCGATTTGAAAGCTGGTTACCTAATGTAACATCCACCAGAGTATTCACTGTCTACAGGACGGAACAAAAAAACACTAAATAATTTAAAATAACAATGAGAAAGTAGTTTTAAATACATTACTTAGGTTAGTTTCTTATAAACAACAAAGTCAAATTATCTCATGTCATCGTAGATGGTCGGATTAGAATGTTGAATCTAACACACTATTTTCGGGGCAATAATTGAAAATAACAAATATAAAAAATGTTTTCAATTAGGCAACTATTGGTTACTTGGTTACTTGTCTATCTGCTTTCTACGTAATATACGACAGGTTATACTAGGTTATTCATATCTTTTCCAACCTCAACTACAATTCATTATGAAATCGAAGGACACTTCGACGTGGTGTAATTTTTAGAGCTCTTATCTCGCTAGATCGATTATGACTGAGAAGTGAGTTCGACCCACACCGAGTGCTCCATACATCTGGCCTTGTGCTACATATAAACTAGGCCGAGAAAAATATTTGGGAACTTTCGACGTGGTATAATTATTAGCAAGCTTGTCTCGCTAGATCAGTTACGACTGAATAGTGAGTTCTAACTTCACTAGGTACCCCATTCTTCTACTCTGTTCTGATATCGAACATGATTTCCGATTTCCTTCTGACAACCTTTTCCTTTTTCAGTGAATTAATGCATGAAATGGAATAAATGCAATACCATTTATACATGTGATGTCATTTCTTTTTCTAGCCTTGCCGCTGTTGTTTGTGATACCTTGGGCCATTGGACGATCCCTTCTTAGCGATGAACAGTGAGTAAATAGTTTGATTATTTTATTGCTATCTCAATTCGCCTACAAGTTATAATATTCGCTCACCATAAAATATTTATTGATATTTCTATGATTTTCTTTCTCCTGCTATCTTGTCAGATCACATTATACACAATCTGATTAATTTTCTTCAAATTTCAAGAATACCCTGCTTTTATATATATATATATATATATATATTATATATATATATATATATATATATATATATATATATTCGGATAAAAATCTGGGAGAAAAATACAGAATAACCCTTCCACCCCCACCTCCGCCTACGCACACTACAAAAATAAATGATTAAAATGGGCACATTTCATTTATTATTTTAAATGTGGTTGCTAACACATGAGTAATTTCTTTTCGGGTAAATATTCATAAATATACTCTTCACTGATGTGGATTTTTGCAAGTGTTTTTTTTCTTTAACCCTACGTTCACCAACATTTTTAAATATTCATGATTCCTATAGTTGGCAACCTGTTTCTTTTTCTCTCTTCCGCTACTCTCCTGATTCAGTGAGGGTGTGTAGCATGTGCTGTAACACAGTTGTAGTTCAGTGGATGTAGGTGGGAGACACCACTGGACTATCCATTTTCGGAAATCCCAGGTCATTAACGCAGGGTTTAAAAAAATCTTTTTACAGCCAAAAGTTTTCAATATTTAACATCATTTTTCCCACGTTATTTCCTAAGAACAGCGCCAAATGAACGTACCAGATAGCATTTTATCGTTTTTCATATTCATTATGGAAACCTTATTTAAAAATTGAATTATCAATTATTTGTCTTATTTATTATGAAATAAAATATCATATTCCGCTTTTGTCTGCTTTTATCCATTTCTTAAATTCATCAATTTTCATTTTGCATGCGCGCCTAGAAGCTGGACTTTTCCATTCGTACCAACTATAATATTATCCAATAGTTAGTGTTCTTTGTCTTAGTAAATAGATTAGTATTCATGTTACACTAATTTTCTTTGGCGTGGGTTTTTATCTTTAGTTCATGTTGCTTTAATATTCTACGATCTTTAAAAAAGGAACAGAAAAAGAAATGGCTACCATATTTATTCGCGTTCTGGTAATAACCTGAAGAAGCCCATAAAATAAAACGACCGAAACGTTACTATGATAATCAAGACTAGGATACAATATTGTGTAAATAATCGTAATTCCTCATCACAGAAATTTATATATATAATTTTTGATTAAATCTTTTTATTCTCACCAACGAAACTTACTTAATTATCGTTACTACTTGTTTCTTATATATCCGCCTTAACACAAAATGGAATAAAACCAACCTATTTATAATGCATGATAGCTTAAAAGTTGAATGACCCACCGAATCTTTGGACAATACAAAGTATTTTATTAATACTCTTGGGAGACTGATATCTCAAGGATAATTTGATACTATGAGTGAATTTTCGAAATGAAAGCTTTTCACGGTTCCATGTTTTCATACAAACACTCATTTCTCCAAGAAAATTGAAGGGTCTCAGAAATGAATAAGCGAGACTAGTCATCTTGAGTTCTTCAACTTTTTCTATAGAAATATGTCTACAGATTCTTTGAAGATATGATTTTGTGCACTTATGCATATACAATGGATTTCCTGCTTGAAAGATCGGTTTGAATGACTACCGCTATTTCCTTACATTAAACTTAGGAAATATCTATATCAATGTGTTTATTATTGCTTATGATGAGTTTGTACCAAGTAATACTTAAAACCCTAAGTTCCTCCACTTTGAAGCCTACTTTTCTTCAAATCTTCCATTTCAAATTGTCATTTATCAATTATTTCTCTATGTGTTAACGAAACAATTTATGAAATTAAATCGCTTTAATGAAATCAGACGAAAAGTGGACGGCCTATTCCAGAGAATAATAATTCTTCCATCTGATTCAGACATTGATTCATTCTCTGAGCCAATAACCCCACTTTTATATTTTAGATTCCTCTTTTGCAAGCCTAATATCTTCCTTTTGAGAATGTCACTTTATATTTTAAATTCCTCTTTTGCAAGCCTAATATCTTCCTTTTGAGAATGTCACTTTATATTTTAAATTCCTCTTTTGCAAGCCTAATATCATCCTTTTGAGAATGTCACTTTATATTTTTTGTTACCCAACCTTTCAGTTGGATTATGTAATTTGTGTGTGTGTGTGTATGTGTGTGTGTGTGTGTGTGTGTGTGTGTGTGTGTGTGTGTGTGTGTGTGTGTGTTTCCACTAAAAGTGTCGGAACCGTTTCCACTTTTTTTTTTATTTCATTTTGTCACATTGTTTCAACCGCTGTAATCATCAAGCTTCATTAATCGACCTCACGAGACTAGATATTTATCTTTCACAATCGTAGGTTTTACACAATGTGACGAATAACGTGGAACTCCGCACAGGTGGCGCTACAAATTGGCCATTTACCTGTGTGCTGTTTAGTTGGGGCATTTCAGGCATTACTAATCGATCCTGACTGTGCGTCTTCAATTGCAACAGGGCTAATTTAACCTGGTGTATAAACCGATGAAACGGAACATTGGTTAATTGTCAACTCAGGTGTTATAATTCTGGCACTTTCTGGGAAAGCGAAACATAATTTTCAAACCTAAAGCGGTGGGCTTCTACCTTTTCTTTTATCATATCTAGAATTCTTCTTAAGGAATTACAGATTTCATAACAGTCTTTCTTATGAAAAAACTATGTCACACATTTAATGTGCCATTGTCGGTATCGAAGATTTACCTGTCGGAATTGAACACACATCAAAATATACAGACTATAGCACTTTTTATCCAATAAGTCATATCGGGTAGAGTCAGAGTTTACGGCTTCCATTAGACATTCACCGAATATCAAATGGAATGTACTAGACATCTGCAAACATATCCGAAGAAGAGACAAGTTGAAGCAAAAGAAACAGGTCTGAGAGAATCAATGTACAATAGAATTAATTAAACTTTGATTTAACTTGCATCCTACAACATATTATATGAACTATGAAGTTTGCTCAATATACGAGAGAGTGCCACAAATTGATTATTGAAATAATACGCTGAAATTTGATTTGAGGAAACATTTCAGTCTAAAGTGCGATAAAAAAATAAATATCTATCAGCCCATAATTTACAAGAACACTTAAGAAAAAATCTGGTCGGAAACATTAGATTTCTATATAAATCACATTATCAGAAACATCTCGAAATTAGAAAGACCCTGTAAAACTATCACATTATTTAACAGTTGAAATAAAGTGTTAAAAGTTTTCGTTTTTTTTTTTTGTTTTTTTTTTTGCAACACGTGAAGACTCGAAATGAACGCTACTATTCAAAACAACACAAAAATAAATTACAACGTAACAGTCAAAACATGAGAAAAAATTAACACCAGACTCAAAACACCCACGAAAATGGCTAAATAAATGACCGAAAGCTCTTGAGATAATAAAAATTATAGAAAATTTTCTTACAATTTCAATAATAGAATCTCTTTATTGGTCAGACACCAATTATTACACCTCTTAGTGACTTAAGTGCCCGGAATGAAAATCAGTTTATATCATCGAAATCATGTAATACTAATGTTGCAGATTACGATAATAATAAATAGCGTAAAAAGTAAAAAGAGATGAAAAATATAAATGAAGTGTTGCCTGTGTTGTCACCGTTGACATAATTGCCTATTACCTGTCAGTGTTTGAAGTTCAATTCTTAAAAGAAAATATTTGGAATACTGATTTGCAAGACATTTTGGGATATTCCTAACTGAAATATTCCCCTCCACATTATCATTATCTTCTACTTACTCTGGAACTAATTACTATCCGATTTTGTGATAGAAAAGCTGAGGAAGATTTCCGTTTCAGAATCAAATGACAGGATATTTTCTGAAACTTCCAATATTCTTCTGGCGTTCTTAAAAAACTTCAATATTACTAGGAATCGTATTGTCTCAGAATCTGGCACACATGTTTTCTGTCATTATTCGAACAATATCTATCCACTGTTCTTTTTTTTGGGGGGGTCCTTTTATTTTATGTATGACAGGTTACCAGAAATCCTTTTGTATTACTCTTCCAGTTCTTATTGTTATACTTTGTCATTTGCTTGTAAACTCATGCGCCTACTCTTTTGAAGAGTGTCCACGATGTATTTGTAGCATAACAGCTATCGACGATGAAATTGAAATCGGCTGCACAGGTTCAAATTCCAGCCGTGTATATTACATTCATTTTCACACTTTTATATCACGGGAAGTGTATAAATCTATTACTGCTATCCTCATTTTGCAAAAAGTGTTGTCGCATTTGCGAAGGGAAGGAATGTACTTTTTATCCCCCTCATATAGGTGTTAAATAGCAGATAAAACTGCGCGCTCTAGCCATGTTTGTCAACCAGTCATAGAGAAGAAACAACTGGCAATTCACAACGGTGGATAAGACAACAACATCTCCCAAGAAGCTATGGCTAACAGAGATAATAAAAAATACGAATGTGGAAAATCATGATCGTCTACATCCTAAATAGACATGGTATTTTTAAAATATCAGAAATCAGAAGACTTCCCGCCAATGAAAGATTTACTTATTAGACCTGCTAAACCTTTCAAATGAGATCGCACTACAATAGGGGCTCTGTTATTGTGACCGTATTCCAAACTAAACTCATCTTTTTGTTAATGACATCTGATGCGTAGCCTCGGTCTGGTTGCTGGGAATAATAATATCTCAAAGTAACACATTTTTCAAAGACATTTCAACATTAAGTTAGATTTATATTTTATAACTTTGGATAAAGGCATTGATATTCCACAATTTATTTAGACACTTGATCGCCTTCTTAACGCCGTTGATGTTAGTAACGTTTCAATATCTTCATCGTTAGGTGGAGACGATGAGAAGCAAGGAAAAGTTTTTTTGTTTTTTTTTTTCTTCACAAGAGAAAGTGAACGCTGACACTCAGGTACCGTGATAATATCAT